TCCTTCCGCCTCAGTCTTCCAAGTAGCTGGAACTACAGGTGTGTGCTACCACACCCGGCTGATTTTTTATTTATTGTAGAGATGAGGTCTCGCCAAGTTGCCCAGTGCGGGTCTCGAACCCGCGGGCTCAGGCATTCCATCACCTCGGCCTCCCAAAGCGTGGGATTACAGGCTGAGCCACCGAGCCCGGCCTAGGCCAGTCTTAGTGAGGGGTTGTTAGGACTTGTCCTGGCCCCTGAGTCTCTGCCCTGGGAGACTCTGAACTGGTGGGTGCTCAGGAGGAATGGAGGCCCTGATTCAGGGTAGCCATTGTCACCAAAGGAATAAATTCAGGGTAAAAATCTAGCTCTCCCACTGCCATGGGACCTCCCCTGTAAGATGGGGACAATACTGCCTGCCCCACAAGCGGTGTCAGGATTAAACAGGGTCCAATGGTACAAAACACGACTTCAGTCAGTTTGTCCCAGCACCTCTCCCTTCTCCTTGTGTCACTGACACTCTAAAGCAAGTGGTTCTCAAATTTGAGCAGGCATTAGGAGCATGCTCGTAGTGGGGAGGAGGGAGGTTAACACACAGAGCACTGGGCCCACCCCAGAACCTGTGTTTGTGCCAAGTTCCCAGATAACGCCAATGCTCCTGGTCTGGGGACTCCACTTTGGGAACCATAGCTCCTGATCATTCTGATATAGCTTGGTGAACACTGTCCTTATCTGAAATGGGACATGGATCTGAACCCCCAGTTCTCTGCCAGCATCTTCCTTCACCAGGACCAGAACCACCTGCTTCTTTCAGAGCTGGACAATGGTGGAGGGGGTGAGGAAAAGATATAGGCAGGGAGAAGGCCCTCATATCCAAGACTGTGGGATTTCCTTTGGAGTCATGCCTCCCAGGATGTTTCTAAAGTGGTTCCTGGTCACCACGTGGGCCCTGGAGAGCCAGCTTTCTGCTCCTGAGCCTGAAGGCCCAGGCTTCACAGCTTCCTGGGGGACACTGAAGAAGAGAAATCAGCATGAGCAAGGCTGGAGGCAGGGGGTCCTCTCTGGTCACAATGGTTTAATGCATCAGCAATTCACAGCACAAGAGGTATAAGGCAGATAATGCTATTTTGCCAGCCTCTTACCTATTGTTTTACAAGGCATTCATTATTTTAATTAATTTATGATAGGCAAGGAAAAAGCACAGACTAGAGGGAGATAATGCCCTTGTTATTATTTGCTTACACTAGATGTTGTGCACTTAATTGTCATGTGTAGGAAGCAGGACTAAAGGAGTGGCTGGGGACAGAGCTACACCAAGTCTGACAGATGAGCCACCACGATGCTGCATCTGGGAAAGAGGCCCTCTCTTCACAACTGACTGCCTCCCCTCCTCCTGACCGCATGCTCCAGAGAAAAAGGAGCAGAGACCAGAAGGGTTCCGTGGTCTTGCTGGGGACACACAGAGGGAGAAGATGGTAAGGGCAGAGTCCATCATCACAGTGATGACCGCCACTGAACAAGACAGAACTGGGTAACAGCAACTAAGAATTAAGTGTTTTCTGTGCCTTATCTTACTTAAACCTTGTAATACACCCAACAGGCAGGTGGAATTGTTCCCATTTTACAGACAAGGTAACTGAGAGCAGCTATCTTTCAGAAGAAGGCACAAAACCTGAGTGCTCAGGCTGGGAGCAGAGGGCCCTCCTGGGCTGAAGTCTACTCCACCAACTACAAGCTGACTGCCATGGGGGGCGGGTTGCTCATAAACCATCATAAGCCTCCCACCCATGAAGGTGGTGGGAAGTCTAAGCCTAGCACAGTGCCAGGTACACAGCAATTCCAGCTGCCCTGACAAAGCAACCACTGATGGGCCTGGGGCCTCCAAGATATTCAGCTGAAGCTATGCCACTTCCATGGACTGGTGGCCCTGGAAGGAACACTGGTTCAGAGTCAAATCTTTAATAAATAATGACAGAGCAGACGATAAGAGAGAGTAGGTTCCTTTTTTTTTTGGAGTTGGAGTCTCACTCCATCGTCCAGACTGGAGTGTAGTGGCATGTTCACAGCTACCCCAGTGTCAACCTGCTGGGCTCAGGCTATCCTTCCACCTTAGCCTTCTAAGTAGCTGGAACTATAGGCTAATTTTGTTTATTTGTTGTAGAGATGTGGTCTCGCCAAGTTGCCCAGGCTGTTCTCGAACCTGTGGGCTCAGGCAACCTCTCACCTTGTCCTCTCAAAGTGCTGGGATTACAGGCTTCAGCCACCATATCCAGCCAAGTGTAGGTTCTAACAGCTGTTATCCTCCAACTAGGTGATGGGCCCTAGGAAGTAAGGTGCTCTGACTTCTAGTAGAGCTGTTCTACCAGGGCTCCTAGTAGAAGCTGTGACCCCCTCCCCCAAGAACAACTGGGACAGGAATTCCCACACAGGGTGGACCCTAGATCAAGTGACACCCTTCTGACTCGAAGCTCCATGAGATCAACCTCCCACTTTCAAGATGAGGAGACCAATGACCACAGAGGGGCTGCCACCTAAGTCCCAGGACTCCGCTCTTTCTCCTGTACCTCACAGGACACTGTGTTCCAAATGGCAAAGCTGGCATCCAGACAACCCTACATCTTCCACATCCCATTGCAGAAGACTCAACCCCCTACAGGGAGGACTTCTGAGTAGGAGCAGATGGGG